CTCTCACACTGCGCCCTGGCCTGCCCGGAGATCCTTTTACAAACCTTTTAGGTTCCACTCGCATTCCGCGCTGTTTGATTGCCGTGAATGGCTTGCTGCATGATTTTTATCCTTTCCGCTCCGTTCTTTCAACGTTACAGATGTCATATTCATATAGTTGCTGTGTTGGTTGAGGATGAGCTGGCCCAGGCAATTATGGGACAGGAGCTGACCAACTGGCAGAATCCCTACCGGATGGGATAGGAATTTCAATCATTGAATATCTAATTAATATATATAATTTTACTGACGAATCCATATACGACTAAATAAGTGGAATAATACATTTAAAGTTTTGCCATGCAGTGACACTCATTTCCGTTGACACGAAGTTCATTGGGAGGAGATCTTCAAGTTATCCCTTACAACACTCTGTCCACTGTTAACCAGGTTTGTGGCTCTTTGGGGCTCTCTTCAGCTACTCCAGTGACTGGACAACTCGAGAGGTCAGAAGTGGAACTGGAGAGTCATGGCTGTCGCTCCGCAGAGCCAAGCTCTCCGGCTCTCGTGGTGGGCAGACAGATGCGATGGCGGCGTCAAATGTAACGCTGAATTTATTACGGGGGGACTTTATTTATGCGCTTATCGCGCTGCCAGTTGCCAGTTGCCGTTGCTCTTGCCGGCCTTAGCACGTTGTCAAGTGTTTATCTTGGCCTCGGACCCGCACTGGTGTACCCGGAGCCCAAACCAGATCCCGCACTCGGCCAGAGCCATAGCCGAAATGAAATACCAAAAAGCTTAACATGGAATTTATGGCTGCACCTAAATCATGCGTCGAAAAAACAACAACCTACGAATATGTATGAATGTATGCACGAGTATATGTATTCGAGTGTGCGAGTGTTTCGGGAGTGAGTGTATGCATGAATGAGCCTGTCGCATGATTTAGGGGCCCCGAGTCGCAGTCGAGAAATTTAAATAATAAATATTTCATAGTTACACAAACACACAAAGCGAGAAAATGGATACCCATCCCGAGTCCCAGCCCCGGCCACAGCCCCAGCCCGACTCCAAAAACAATTCCACATCCAAATCGAACGCATTCGTAAAATATTCAAAGCGAACGCGACTAAATCAAAACATTGTCGAAATAAAGCGTTTGAAAATTGAATTTCGGTTTCTTTGGTTCTCTCTCTGGCTCTGGCTCTGGCTTCGTCTGTTTGTGTTTCTGTTTCTTTTCAGTTCATCTCCGGCAAAATTGAAAAGCATTTGTAACGGAAATGAAAACCAATCCAATCGTTTGCCCCACGCTTCAGGGGAGGGACTCAACAGACAAGACTCAACTCGAATCGAGTCGCTTGGGTCTTTTGAATTTAAATTAAGAAATTTATCTTTTGAATGCGTCCTCCAATGTGCCTCTCCCCTTGTGGCCTTTTGGTTGCTCCGCTGTAACTTGTCTGGCATCTCCCACCTTTCGGGCCAATAAAAACGAAATGAATTCCGTTCGCTTTGTTTTGGCAAACGCCTCGCTTCCAGTTCTAAGATTGCCATCAAACCGAAACCAGATACTCCGAGTTTTGTTTGTTTTTTATGAATTTTAAATTATTTGCGAGCTTTGTTGTTGTTTCTTTCCCCTGCGAAACGGGTATCATGAAGTTATTAAAATTAGCCCGTCGAGATTTATTTAATCGGGCACTTTTGCACCTTTTCATTTGGGCCTCGAATCATTTGTTGATTCGGAGAAGCTTCTAACAATTTTTAGCCACGCAGAGGAGTGATTTCGGACGGTTCAAAATGGCATTTATGGCCGACTTCATGGCTAATAAAAATTTGCATTGTCTGGCCACAAATATTATTATTTGTCAACTGGCCGAAACCAGATCGGCTTCGATCTGGGACAGGCTAAGTCCGCGGAGTCAGCCATAAATTAGCGACACCAACTGCCACAGAATTTGCATTCGAAATTACGCTTCTTAAAGATAAATACCTTAAATTGGTTGTTATTTAGAAGTCCATAACATAAATTGCAAAAACAAATAATGCCATTTGTCAATGGGATTACGCATTCGGAGCTGCGACATCTCCCCAGCTTTTATTGCTCCCAACGTATTTGGCATACTAAAATCATTTCTTAATGAAATCCGCTAATTGGTAAAGATCATCATCAAAAGAACAGTTATTGAACCCACAATAAAGTTTAGGATCCGATTAATAATACACAAGAGAACACACTAGGACTGACGACCCAGATATTAATCACAATTAGATTGTGCGCAATAATATGGAATAAAGCAATAAATAAAATTAGATTTTACTCCACGGTGTTCCCCTGTGCAAATTTAACACTGTACATTTCATTGTCAATTACAGAGAACACAAAAAACACAAATTTCCTTCACACTCGCCTCTTTCTCGGATAATGCTACGGATGTGTTTTCCATTTTGGGCGTATTTAAAAATTCCAAACGCGTTTAGGCGAGTCCCCAAATGCATGTGCACGAGTATGTACAGACGTGTGCAATATCTGAGAGCACATGAATCGTATTATTTATGAGTCCTTCTGAGTGCCCGGCCCAGGAGTCGGGTTTTTAATCAGAAGGGAACCCTGTATGGAGCCGAGTATGATGCTGATGATATGTGGTGAAACGGAGATTGGCAAGTGGGTCAGTGTGCCTGTGGGGTAGAACGACACGAAGGATATTTAGGCCACTCGACCGTCCCTGGCCAATTTGTGCCATGTGTGCGATGTGCCCAACTCTCTCCCCTTTTCATGCAGAGACGCCCAAATAAAGGGCCCAAAACCAAAGCACAAAAAACCAGATGCAGACACGGTTCCAGTTTCGGTTGCAGCCAAATGTAGGTGAGGAGCGGAGCGGAGGGGAGCGGGAGCAAGCCCTGACCGCTGGCCATTGACCGAACCCAGATCCAGACGTAGACCCACACGAGTCTCTGGGCCTGCTCGAAAAGCTCATTTGCATATTCTGCAAACGGTAACGCAACAGAACCAGAAACAGGGAAAGTGTTGCCTGAAATTGCTTCTCTATCTTCGGCCTGTCTGTCTCTCCGAATCTCTTCGTTTCTCTCCGTGAGTTTGTTTTTTAATTTCAGCTGCCATTTGGGTGTTGGTTTTTCCAATTAACAGAAGAATTTTTCATTTCGTGAGTTATTTTTTGTGTTATTTGCATATACTCCTGGTTTTTGTTGCCTCGTTTCGATGGCAATACTTTCCGCACCGACCCTTTGACCTCTTCGCATTATGGGTCTGGAAGTCCGTCCATTGGTGGATGAGCTATGCCCTACTCAGAGCCTCCTACCCCCACCACCACCGATTGCCATCTAATTAAATGAGTTATGGCGCCGGCATAATGCCAGTACTTTGGCTTCAGATAAACGTTTGCCGCCCAATCCCGCCCAGGAACAGAGCCGTAGAGAGAAACAGGGCCAGAGATACGGCTGCGCCCTGGTCTGGCGATTTACGAGCTCGAATTTTGCATAGTTTGAAATGGCACAAAGCACCAACTTGGACACAATTCATTTTCCTCGGCATACAAATCTCCCTTTTTGCATTTGGCGGCCATGAATCATGGTTGGCAGCGGAGTGCAGCCCGAGGGCATGCAGTTGAAAAATATCAAACTTGCACAATGGAAAATGCACGGGGAAAGTCCTAGATCGAACACACCCAATGGCACCCAATGTGTTCAGGTAAAGCGATTCACTTCGCGTCACTGTTACACCTGGAAATAAATGTAATTGAGAACTAAATCCCGATTCCCGCGATAAGTATCCACTGTCCCACTGTACTCTGATACTGTGGGCTTTATCCCGTTCGGGCGCAACCCGTTAAATTCCAGCCTGAGCCAGGCCAACCTCCAACTTCCAGTTTCGGGTTGCATCGGAATTTATGCACATTTTATTGACCAACGCAGAGACAAGGGAAAAGAGCACTGCGGAGTCAAAGTTGGGCTGGTTGTTGCCACAACAACGTGTCCAAAAGTGTTTTATGGCCGTTGTGGGCGCTCAAGTGGCCATTTTGGGTCGACCCGGGGACTGGCAGGAGTGTGCATATGCACTCCACTCGCCGGCTTGTTCGACAACCACTTGGTCGGGCCGAGCCTGCGGAGGAGCCCAGCACTGAATACAGATGAGCAGAGGAAGATGAGTGCTGTACTAAATACTAAACACTCTCAAGTATTTGCAGCTCTAATGCGGCGCTGATTTATGGCAGCTGCAAGGGGCTTTGGCACTGGAACTTTGAGCTAATCCCGCAGTTGCAATTAATTGGAGTCGCCTGTGCCTGTGCCTGGGCCGTGTCAACGACCTTCCGCGAACGAAACTGTAACGATCCGCGCACACAAAAGCGGTTCAAAGTCAAAAAGTCAATTAGCTTCTGATGAAGAATACAGCCCGAGGCTGGTCCAGTACGGGACCCGCACCACAGCGGATACGTAAAAATACATTGAATCGGGGCAATGGAGATGCGAGTCCCCGCCGGCGGCTGGATGAAGTGGAAATCTCGTTAAAAGTCAATAACAGACGCCATTAAATGTGCATGAAAATTAAATGAAAACGGCTTGATGATGCGGCCTGCGGGAGGGTGCGAGTGGGGGCGTAGTGCAGAGCATGGCGGAGCAGGCAGACACGCGACCACTTGAACTTGAGGCAGCTGGGGCAGGCAGCGGGGCCAGTCATTTGAGCTGACCCCAAGCGGGCGGACAAGCAGAGTTCAGGTTCAATGGCATCCCAGCGGGGAAGCAGAGTGAATAATGCGATACGGAATTCCGATAAGCCAACTTTATTCGATCCCTCCACCATCTGTTACGATGCTAGAGCGAACCAACATTAACCTAATCAACGCGATGTGTGTGTGTGTGTGCTCTAATTATAAATGGGACATAATTACATACATACGAATATGGGAATGAAAAGGAGAGAATTCCTTCCATACATTTATCTAGTTGCCATATTTTTATTCGGGCGATTGTAGTAGGCGTACAGAACCCTTTGCAAAAGTCATTTGGATCCCTTGATAAATTCAATACACTCATAGATCTCGGACGGATCACAATACTCCGCTCTCCAGGCAAACAAATAATACAAAAATCAAAAATCAAATACTTTATACGCAACATACATTTCTGACAAGATGAATCGTATTCTGGAGGATGTCATCCATAAGAACGCCGCGACCGTCGAACGCATCACGAGCGAGAATGCATCTGGATACGTGGTGGCAGACAATACGGCCAATGCCGTGGCCGAGACCTCCTTCGACAACACCGGGGCCCAGGCGATCGTGAAGCACTTGCACGGGGTCCTCGTCAGCTCGTGCCAGAGTGTGATCCGGGACCTGGATCCCACCAACAAGCTCTGCTTCCTGCGGGTCGCCACGCGCAAGTTCGAGTATCTGGTGGCCCCCGAGGAGTATTTCACCATAACCGTGGTGCAGTAGCCGGCTGGAGCTGCAACTGAATCGGGATCGACTGGAGGAGGCGTTCGTTTTATTATCATGTTAGAATCAACTGTTCCGTGTGTGCGTGTGTGTGTGGGTCCAACAATATAATACAAGGAAGGGCATCCTGCCGTCGTTTATGGGGTAACGATGAGCTGAACCTGAACCTGAATCCTTTCAAATGCTAACTAAATTCAGAAGAATGCTTAAATCAACAGTGCGGGAAACGGCCACCCGAAAATCCTTTATAATACCCTGGCGACGTTCCGATCTGGATTATTTACGACATGGCTTCATCGGGCAGGGCAGGAAATTTATCTGTGAGAATGCGAATGCGGCTTTCTAATGCGATAATTCAAAAGATTTACTTCTGTCAACATGACCATTTTGTAGCGAGACAGACCTTAGGTTTCTCGATTGGTTTTCGGGGTGGAAATGTGGCCTTTGACCTTTTTGCTTCTTCCATCTTGCGCTGCGCTCCACAATTGATGCTGCCTGCTATTTTAAATTTAAAATGGCAGGAATCGTAACTCATTTTTACGACGCACCCTCCGGGTAGTGGATGTACGAGTACGAGTATCTTGTCCTATTTTTACGGGGCCTTGCAGGGGTTGCTCTTGCGTTGCTTCTCTCTCACTCGTTACAATAACTTATCTGCCCTTTTTTTCTACCCGAGTCCATAATCACCACGAAGCAGTGACGGGGTCGGAGACGCTCCTGGGGTGCGCTTTGTGATTCTCGCAGCTATCTTGAAGCAGTTTCCATTGTCTGGCACCGTTTTGTGGTGCAGGGTAAATATAAAAATATCAAAATTTGTACAAAAACTTAATTCATCTGTCGGCTCGCCCCGTTCCACCATTGTGACGCGCTGGCTTCGATGGTGGCAAGCCGGAATCGACCCCAGAACTGCGTACTTCGTTTCAGGCAGCGTGAAATGAAATTACTCCATGGTCCATTCCCAGTGACGACTTCATCTCGAAGCCCCCTCTCCCCAGACCAGACCAGACCCAGCCCGAACCGATTCCTGCGAAATTATTAATGCTCATGGAAATTAGAAACACTTTGAATTAAATTCAAATAAAACGATTTCCCAGCTCTCCAACGGAGGTTCAGGCTCAGCCCGTCAAGGATGTCCAGACTCTCTTTCATGCGATACTTTATGGACTTGTCACATCTCCAAGGGCAGCATCCGCGTGCTATTTGCCATATTCTACTCCCTGGATTCAATTGAGCTGTGCGGCAAACCTGAAAATGCAAACGCGCATGAACATATTTATACTATTCCCTGTATAAATATCGAGACAAAAAAAGATATAATATATAATATAATCAAGGGATCAACCTTAGCCAAAACCAGAGGCAAAAAATAAAACATTTTCCAGAGAGTGTTTAGAAATGCAAAATTCAAGGCAATACGTTTTGCGAGGGGGAACGTTGTGAGCCGCGTCTACTTTTATACCCGGTACTCAGTCAGTCAGACTTTTAATTTATCTGAACTGAGGCTTGACAGCCGCCTCGAATCCATATCTCGGAACGGCACTCAAACGATGAACTTATTATTCAAAAAATTACTTGAGTGCGTAATTTTTGAGTTAATTTGACTATTAAAAGAAGATAATTTGAATATCGACTACCACAATGAGCCCCATGTTATTTTTAAAATGAATTAATAATAATTAATAAATTATTAAATATAAAATTATTTGATGTTCCCAATCCATTCGTATTCTCTATTTCTGGGCTTCTTCTTAAAGATGCTTTAATTATAAAATTATTTAATGTTCCGTTCCAATTTGATTCGATGCAAAAGAATAAAAATTTTGCTGTTTACACAATCAAAATATGCGCCGGCAACAAAGTCCAAACTGCCCAACGTATTGTGAAGCTTCTAATATTCGTAGAACTATGCACACATGCAGACAAAAACTTTAAAGATGTTTCTTTTAAATCCACTTTATTTCATGAAAATATCTTAATTCGTTCAGAAGGTATCTTGCTTTCAATTTGAAAGGTCCGAGGCACTCATGGCACTCATGGCGCATTCATGTGCTACGGCAAAGAGAGAATAAGAGAAAGAGAGAGAGAGAGAACAAAAAACATGTCGGACTGGACTGGGAGCTCGAAACTCATATACACATAATAACATCCATCCCCCTAAAACCAAGCCCATTTTCACTTTGGCCTCGCAGCGGCGCAGACGTTCCTTCTGGGGCGGAAGAAAAAGTATAAAATTTTAATTTTATTAAATTAAACAAAAATAAATAAAATTCTAATACCATTATAAATAAATAAAAATTAAAAAGAATAAATAAATAAAACAATCAAATACAAAATTGTAATGCTTCTTCTTTCCTGAACGAGCTGCTGAAGCTGCCGCTTTCTTACGCCAGATGGCAGCGCAGTGCAGTGCCTGCGCGCGCCATCTATTGCTTGTACCGCTCCATCTGTACATCTCCATGTGCAGTTTTAGAGTCATTGTAACTCCTTAGCTCTGTTAATTTGCAGACGCTGTTAAAATGCAATTTTGTTTCAGCGCGCGCGCCCAATTCGGCCTCAGATGCTGCACTGGATGCAAGATCTCCTGCTTGGCCCTAGTGTCACTGGCCGAGGAACCGGCCACGGAACCTTGTTCCGGATATCCTCGGCTATACGCTGGGCCGCAACGAATGGAGCATCATCTTGTGCTCCTCGTCCCCGTCCAGGCTGTACTTGGAGCCGTACTGCTCGTCTCTGGGCGGTACTCGACGAAGCGTTCTCATCGCAGTCGCGACGCGGCTTTCCCTCCCAATTAATTTCGATCAGACGCTGCGCATCCTTCACAGCCACAGGCTGGGTCTGGGTCTGGGTCTTGTCCACGGGCCATACCTGCTCGAGGGTGACTTGTGCCTCACGATTCAGGCCTGGTTGATAGTCGGCCTCTTCTCATCGTCCGGATAAATGATGATCTCCTTGTTACGGAAGTAAACTGCAGTGAGAGAGAATAGTTCCTGGCGGATGCTGCTTGCCTGGCTCCTCCCCAATCACTTACCAATCTCATCCAGATTCAGTCCAGCCACGTCCTAGTTAACAACTATTAGTTACTAGTTAGTAGTTCGGTAGTTCAAGTATACTTGATCGTATACGATTTGGCGTCGCGTCCACACACACACACACACACACACACGCATATGCCCAAAGTGGGATGGGATGCTCCGGCTAAGGAACCTAAACTGGACGTAGACGTACAACAATCGATAGTATTGTGTTCGATCGATAACATAGCTAGGGCTGTACAAACCGTGCACTACTGCTGACGACGCTAACGGCCACCGGCTACTAGGACTGCACAGCAACGGACAGGACTGTCCAGGACTACACAGTGCACAGGACAAGATGGATCCGAGCAAGGCTGGAGCCAGTGCAGGTTTCTCTGCTTTAGCGCCCATTGCTGCGACCAGCAATGCGTCAGCCCAGTGCCAGGAACAAGCTGTAGGGGCTTGTAGCCCAGTACCTAGCCAAGAAGCCGGACCAATACACAAACCCCCGCTCCGTTTGTCTTTAACTGAAATCGGGTTTATTGGGAATAAAAATACACATGCATTTTCACATCAAAAACACATGCATTTTCATACTGCTACGTTCATCATTTACCCACATTGATTGGAGAGCAAGCATCTAGCAACTGGCGAGGGTCAACGGAGCGGAGCATATTGCCAATCAAAGACTTCGATTCAATTTGCCCCGACCTGCCAGAGACGATAATGGGAATGGCGCATAAAACCCAAGTGCGGGTGTTGCAACGCAAGCGATTCCATTCAAAATCGGAGCAATCAAGGCATCAAGATGTCAGTACGCGCGGCTAAGACAACAAAATTACTTTGAGCATCGTTAGGACCACGACTCTGACTCTGACTCTGACTTGCAGTCTCTTCCGTCTATCTGTGGGGGAAATGTCCGATCAGAAGGGGCAAGCTCCCGCTTCCCCGACCCCTGGAAGAGACACAGGGCTGACGAAGGGGAAAAACATGAAAATCATCTTTCAACGCGATGCGCTTTGGCCGCGGCAGGCAGCATCCAACCACCAAGACACCAATCGCAATCAGGTGAGGTGGGAGGTGGGTGTCGAGGCGTCCAGGATTCATATGTGAGACCCGTCCAGGCCAGGTCTTTCCACGCAAGCAGCCAGCAAGTGCGGAGAGATACCCGAAGAAGACCAAAACCAAGACCAAGACGATGCCGCTGCCCTCGACTCGACTTGCGTTCCTTTTCTGCTTTGTATTTCGCTGCTGGCGCTGTCCACAAATGCAACGCACGCGACGCTGCCATGGCGGAGCATCCAGTTCGACATCAACTGGTTTTCTCCCTCTTTGAATCTCCATCCAGCCCTCTCCGCCCCACCCCGAAACACTCGCAAGCCTTTCCATTGTAAAAAAAAAAAAAGATCTTGAGACCATTTTGAGATGCATTTATTTAAAACATTTTAGCATTTGAAAAATACATTGACCTTATTAAAATACCGTCTAGGATAGTCAGGGATTTAATTTGAATGAGCACTGAATAAATATATTTATTTGTAGCACCTAACAACTCGTACAATACTACAATAATGCCTAGGAAACGTCCACTCCGACGCACTGCCCCAGGGCAAGCGCCAAGCTCTGAAGCAGAGCTGACACAAGCAGCTCCTTAGGTGCCTCATCTAAGCTGATGCAACACCAATACAAACACAGATCCCCTGCTCAGTTTTAGCTCCGTTCTGGTTCCATCTCTGCTTCTGTCTCTGTTTTCCTGTCCGTCCGTCTACTGATGTTCTGTTCCTGTCTCCGGCTCATTGTTCGTCTCGGTTCAGTTTGGTTTGGTTCCGTAAATTACACTTTTGATTTTTAGTGGCCGTAAAATAATCGTAAATGTCGTGGTTATTGCGACCGAAAGTGCCCATTTTGAGTGCTGCTGCTGCTGCTGCTTTCTGTTGCTCTCTGCTCCTCCGTGGCTCGCCCCCCTTCCCGCTCCCGCTATAACTGATATTTGGCCCAACTCGGTGCAGTGTGCGGACAGGGGACGGCCGTCAAGTTGGTTGGGTTGGGCTGGGCTGGGAACGTGCTGCCACTGCACAAGCAGCACGGATACCTCCCCTCCCCGCTGGGGGCACGTTGCACTTGTTGTTTTTAATAAGTTTGTGGCGGTTGTTGTTCCTGGCTTTCTTCTGCCT